AGAAAAAGGCATAAAAGGGAAGAGGGAGGGAAAAGAAAGAAAGGAAAGAAGGAAAGAGAGAGAAGGAAGGAAGGAAAAAGGTATAAAAAGGAAGAAGGAAAGTAGAAAGGGCAGGAGGGAGGGAGGGAAGGAAAGAAGGCAGGCAGGCAGCCCCCCTTTGCACCCATGCCCGTGGCTGGGCAGCTCTGTTTTGAAGTTATTTCCTATACTGAACCGAAATGAAGGCCTAATTCTCTGGAGGCAGGAGGAGTCCAGCAGAAACAGAGCTGCAGAAGTGCATGCAGGGGAAATGGGCCAAATAAACCTTATCTTAAAGAGTTCAGGGGTTATCCTTGTCCACATCCACTTCCCAGGAGGGGAGCCAGGCAATTCCTACCCAGTGTAGTGCTTGGGGTCACCCATGAGGCGCCTCCAGTTTCTACTGAGTTCATAGCCACACTGGCACTTGGGAAAGGCACTGAAGGCACACTGAGGAACCTGCTCTCTCTGTGCTCCCCTGGGCAGCCCCTACAGAGCATTTCTCTGCTACTCCCTGCCTGCCTCTGAACCCCACCCCTTGGGCATATCCAGTGACAGTCAGAGGCTCGGCAATCCCCCGGAATGTCCTGGGCATCTCCTCAGCTCCCTTCTTTCCCCACAGATTGCTTGGGCTCAGGCAACTCGGACAACCACAATCCTTATTTCTGCGGCCCTTCCCCGGCAACACAGATCCCAGCCCACCACCATGCCTGACATCTGCTCCACCTTCACCTTCTGCTCAGAATCCCATAACCCAAACATCCCTAGGATTTCTGGTGGGAGGAAAAGGCACTTCCCATGCTGCAGAACACACATCCTTCCCCAAGAGGATCCCAACACCACCAAGACCAGCTCTCCTGAGACTGCGTGGTGTTGCACAGTCAGTAAAATATTAGCCCAGAGTCACTAGTGAGCAGCTTTGTTGGCATATGAAGCAAGTCTGCCTGCAAATCAGCCCTGCACAGAGGAACGCAAAGCCAGGAGATGGAGAAAAACACCAATAGTTGGTTCTCATTATTCAAGGTAGTAATGGTCTATGAAATTGCTGTGAGCGCTGAATTCAAGAATATGGAATCATTGCTTCCAAGGGAAATACCAGAGTGTTTGAGAGACTCTATTCCAATAATTGAAGATGTTAAGTCATACCTGAGGCCTTTTAATACAATTTTTAAAAATTATACCTATACTTTGGTTACACATGAAGACCAGCTCCCACACTGTCCTGAGCACCAGGAAAACCCCAAGGCCCATCAAAGTACTGCCTCTGTTGCAGGGAGCTCATCCAAGCTCACTCACACCGGGTCAACAAACTTTTACGTTATATATCCTGGGAGAGTCCCATCACATTCTGCGGTTCCAAGATATACCCATCCTCTCTACCAGCTAAAGAATCCACCAGGTACAGTGGCTCACACCTATAATCCCAGCACTTAGGGAGGCTGAGTTGGGAGGTTTGCTTGAGTCCAAGAGTTCGAGGCCAGCCTGGGCAACCTAGTGAGACTCTGTCTTTACAAAAAATAAAATAAAACAATTAGCTGGAAGTATGTACCTGTAGTCCCAGCTACTCAGGAGACTGCAGGGAGCTGGGATCACGCCACTGCATTCCAGCCTAGGCAACAGAGTGAGACCCCCAACTCAAAATAAATAAATAAAGAAAAGAATTCACTTTTCTAGCCCCATCTTAGACCTCAGGAGAGGAGTCCAGGAAGAGAGCCCAGAGTCTGGCTGTTCACCTTTCACCAATCTTCTCTGGCATCTTGGAGGACAACACTGCACCCACTCTGGTTAACCTGGCCACCACCCAGCATCCACTCCCAGGACACTGCTGTCCAAATGTGGTTCCCACTGTCCCTTTAAACTCTATCAGACACATTCAGACTTCACACGGACAGAAATATCCACTCAAGTCTGGTGAGCCAGCTAGCTACACCCTTGGCCATCGCTTCCCCACCAGTAGCCCTACTTGGTCTCCTGACTTGGTTCCTGAAAGCCACATCCTGTGGTCAAATGTGGAAGTCTAAGGCAAGACAGTGCTTTCCAGAGAAGGTAATTTCAACTGTGAAACCAACAGTTCCTGGTTGGTTTATTCTCCCTTTTACATCCCTCCCACATCTGTAACTGTATAAGGTATGTTCTTAGGGCTTCCATATAGAGTTCACCAATTCAGCTAGAGAAGGGGGGCAGCAGAGTGAGTCTTTCTGAATCTGTCTTAGCATCACTGTTCTATAAGCATGTATGAGCTCACTGCCAGGAGATACAGACCCTGTCCTCACACCTTCGTTCTCTATCTTCTTCCTCCTTTTATACATTATTGATCACCAACACTGAGAAAATTACTATTATCCTTCGGGAACAGCTGTGCTTTTGTCACATTTGACATCTGATCTAGTCTTATCATAAGAGTTATGGGGGAATTGCGTCTACCCCAAAATGTATATGTTGAAGTCCTAAACCCCAGAACCTCAGAATGTGACTGTGTTTGGAGACAGGACCTTTAAAGAGGTCATTAAGGTTAAATAAGGTCATATGGGTGGGCCCTAATCTTATAGGACCAGTGTCCTCATAAGAAAAGGGAGAGCCAGGCTCGGTGGACCAGCCTATAATCCCAGCACTTCGGGAGGTTGAGGTGAGTGGATTGCCTGAGCCCGCGGGTTCGAGACCCACCTGGGCAACTTGATGAGACCTCATCTCTACAATAAAAAAAAAAAATTAGCCGGGCATGGTAGCACGCGCCTGTAGTTCCAGCTACTTGGAAGGCTGAGGTGGAAGGATCATCAGAGCCCAGCAGGTGGAGGCTGCAGTGGCCGGGAGCGACCACTGCACTCCAGTTTGGGTTACAGAGTGAGACTCCAACTCAAAAAAAAAAAAAAGAAAAGGGAGAAAGCCAAGGGATTCGTGCACAGAGTAAAGACCACGTGAGAATACCACAGGAAGGTGGCTGTCTACAAACCAAGGAGAGAGACCTCAGAAAAAGCCAAACCTTCTGTTACTTTGACCTTGGATATAATGAACTGAATGCTTATATACTCCCCAAATGCATATGTTGAAATCCTAACATCCAAAGTGAAGGTATTAAGAGGTGAGGCGTTTGGGAGGTGATTAAGTGTCCTTATAAAAGAGATCCCAGATAGATAACTAGTCCCTTCTACCATGTGATAACATGGCTAGAAGGCACCATGTAGGAACCAGAAAGTGGGTCCTCACCGGATACCAAATCTACTGACACCTTGCTCTTGGATTTCCTCATCTCCAGAACAGTGAGAAAAATATTTTTTATTGTTTAAACGCTACTCAGTTTATGGTATTTTGTAATAGCAGCCTAAATGGACTAAGACATTGAACTTCCAGTCCCCAGAACAATGAGAAAGTAAATGTTTTTAAGTCACCCAGTCTGTGGTATTTTGTTATGGCAGCCTAGGCTGGCTACAATGAGCAAAACACTGACTCACTTACTCACTAGGCTTCTCCTGAAGGCCTCGCATATGCAAAACACTGATTTAGGAACTGTGGGCAGACACAAGAGTAAGCAAGAATCCCATACCTCGCAATATGGCCAGGAAAAATGGCACAAACTTACCTGTCATGTAACAGAAGGCAACTATTTTGGTATAATGCTTCAATAACTTTTGTTTCAAAAATGCAAATTTTACAGTCTGATAAACAAGAAGTCCTCAATAAATGCTAGATGCTGTTGTTGCTTGACTTGAGAAATAAGCAGGAATAAGATCATTATGATTCTTGCATGTCAGGGCACTAGGTACCGTATGCTCCTGACAATCTTTGAGACATTGTGTATTGCTGTTCAATTGCTTTTCTATCAGTATTACTGCAAATAAACACTTCTTCTGTTTTCCAGAATCATCTTCATGATGCTGAATAGAAAACTGATGTGCAGGCCTCATGTCAGTTCAAGGAAGCACGAGGGCCGAGGGGAAAGGGGAATTGCATGTCATCTTAACCAAAGCACTTGTGGAAAAAGCTTTTCATTTTATCTGCAGAGATGTATTTTTCAGGTATGTTTGTGATAAACCATACCCAAAAGTGCAATAATCACAGGCAGTGAAAATAATATAAATAATATAATCATAAACATTTTACCATTACATTTGAATGCAAATTTTTTTTAAAATGCAAATTTGTGATTGATATATTAGGGAACAATTTAAGCATAAGGTGAATTTTGTGTTTGCTTACCTGTGAGAAATACAAGATAAACACAGAAAACTGCACAAAGCTGAACTGAGCCACATAGGAAGACACAAAATTCACACACTTCAGACACTGACCAGTTCTCTCAGTCCACTGTATGTCATAAACCACACTCATCCATATTAAATGGACATTAAAATTCTCCATCTGATTTCACCTGACTGTTCTCCCAGCATTCCACACTAACACACACAAGCAGCAACACCTTCTTAGACCACTTTCACAAGTAAACTCTAAGTCATTTTCAGTCAAGTGTCATATTTATGGTAATATTCATAAATTTCTTATGTAAATTCATTTGATATGTAAAACTGTTCTACTATTTTAATAAGATTTTTAGTTTTGCTTTTATCTGACAAATTATTAAGTGTTGGGTTTCTAATCCACATTTTTCCATAAACCCGGTAATCTTCATTGCATGATTTTTGTATACTGCAGTGATTTTTAGGAACATGTATGGATAGAACTGGCTGTATTGAAATATTTCAAGAAGGAACTACATTTCAGGTAACTAACACCTGAGTAATCTGATTAATGTATAAATGATGACTCCTATTGGCCATCTACACTAATTGCAGGTATAATACAGAAAAAGGTAATGTATTCAAAGAGGATTTTTAAATGTTATAGTGTGAATGAAGCTATTACACAAGCAAAGTTAAATATATGTCCTCACCTTTAGTCAGCTTTTTATGACTTCAAGTTTCCTAGTCTATTTACTGAAAGAAAAATTTTCTAAGGTCACACAGTCTCATGCAGGGAGTCACACTGACCTGTCATTGAGTTTTCTGAGGTGCATAGTTGCTCTCTCAGCTTCTCCACATCATCAGGATGCACTTGTTCATAGAGTGTGCTCCCAAACCACTCTGACTGGGGCTGGTTCAGAACAGGGGTGACAGAATCAGACACGTAAATCACTCGCCCTGTCTCAGCCGCCACAACAAACAGAAATCCATCAGCTGCTTCAAGGATGAGATGCTTCAGTTCCTAGGAAGAAACGAGCATAATTAACATAATATACTGACAAACCTAGGCCAATTAAACTTTATTATTAGCAACCTTCAGGTTTTTTTTAATTCAGATACTCATTTTGATACGCAAATAGTTTGGGAAACAAATGCTTGTTTTTACTGGAAAATAAGCTAGAAATATGCACAAGGCTTGCACTATCCCCAAAACACAGCAACTCTAAACACTGTTAGCCCTGTCTTAACTAGTCCTTTCTTAGGGTGAGGGAATATTCCCAGCCTGGGAGACTGGGAGAGAAATGAGTGATCACCAGAAGGTGCTGGGTTGCCAGAGGTGTGAACAGCCTCACCTACATATTGAAACTGCAGTCATGTCATTGGAGCAGAAGGGCCTGGCACATAGTGCTTGGCACAGATGGTACTAGATGGAGGAAGAGGAGAATGAGCTGGTGAGAAGAGGGAACGAAAAGGACCATGCGCCTCCCCACCCACTGCTTCTCATGCCGAAAGTATACTCTTGTTCCTTTCCTCTTCCTGTAAATGCTGGCACCAGAAATGAGAGTATCTTCTTACATCTGCACATCTGTCAAGCTTCTAAAACTGACAACCATCACCATCATATCGACAGGCTCTTGGAATAACCCTGGGAGGCAGTGGGGCATATCACAGTATTCCTATCACTTTCCGGTGAGAAGAGGTTAAAAGCACCAACGCTGGGGTCGCGTTGATTCGCCAGGGTCATGACTATCATTGAAGGCAGGAAGGAAGCTGCTTGGGATCAAGGAGTGGGCAGCAGGAAGCCTTGTCATCATCCTCAGAGGGATGTGGATGCAGCAAAGTCAACTTTGTGAAAACAAGATGTCTTTTCTTTGCAGTGCTCGAAGGCAGATCAAGTGTAGCTACCCATGCTATTCTCACGTCAAGCTAAAGAGCACTTTGCCGCTGAATGAAATGGGCTCTATGCCTGAGTGAGGAGTGAGTCATTCACTCTTCCACATGCAATGGAGTTCACAGACACTCTGCCAACCACTTCACACATTGTCCAGTCTTAAAGGTCAAAGGTATCCTTCCAGGTCAGTGGTTGACACATTTTTTTTTTTTTTGCTGGGAATCCTTTGTTCAAATGTAATCTTACTTGGAAACCTTACTGTAACACACATGAACAGAGGCAGAAGGTGGAGAGTTGGAGCCCTAAATACCAGGCCCTGGGACACAAAGTCTTGAAAACATTGATGTACTGGTGGGTGGGACCTGGAGAGCTTTGTAAGTGTCTCCAAGCACTTGACTGGGGAGAAATTCTAACATCCTCTGCCTGGGAAACTAGGGTGGAAGCAGACTGTATAAGCATTTTTTAAAGGTTATTCTGTCCATTTCTCTTGCTTTGCACTTCTGCTGTTCTGTGTCTCTTGGACGCTTACTTAGTTCAGAGGACTGGGTCAGCGTGTTTATTTTCAGTATTGGGAAGATCTTCCCAACAGAAAAAGCTGTTAAAAGAAAAGAAAAAAAAGGAACAGGATGTCTTAATTCTCTGTCACTGGAGGACAGGAAGTAGAGGCGAGATGATGTCACCTGTTTTCATCCAGTTTGCAAGGACTGTGGGAAGGGACTATGGGATGGAGCCTCAGTCTCATCATGGTACTCTCTTTCTACCACCCTCCTCCCCAAATGCTCATCCTCTGGGAGCTCACAACTCACTCCCAAGGTCCTATCCTCCGAATCCAGAGCCAGCCTTGCTCCTATTCTCCAGGAAGACAAACAGCAAAGGTTAAGAGCATGAATCTGGGAGGAAAAGGAGACTATCACTCATGACTCTTCCACATAGCCGTGTGACATTGGGCATGTTACACATGCCCTCAGCTTGTTTTTTCACGCAATTTTTCTTTCCAGTGAAATTTTACGAGGTTAAACAAGATCTCGTATTTGAGGACTCAGTAAGAACCTGGCATACAGTAGGTGCTCCATAAATGTAACCGTTATCATCATCATCCAAGCTGTTGAGTGAGAAACAAAGGTAGGACTCATATGACTCACACAGCTGCCTTCTCTCTCTACCCCACTTTCATAATCCATAGTCACTTAAAGATAAAGAGATTCATTTCAAACACTGACTCTGCAGGGTTTTTTTTTTTGATCAGGATGAAAGAAATGTAGGGGAAAAAGCACTTTACTGACCCTAGCAGTTAGCAGTGCTTAATACATTTCAGTCTGGTTCCCAACCAGCTATCCACCTCTCTTTATACTCCAAGTTGCATGTTGGACAGTCTACACGCATTTCCTTCCCCATCCAACTGCCCTGAGCTGGAAGCTACCACTGTGTTTATTTTCACAGATGTGGAAATAAGGCTAGGAACTTGCACCCTGAACCACCACACTCCACGCCCTCCAGGCGGCAGACTGACCAGCACCATTTCTTCCCAACACCGGTCAAGCGTGGGATCCTATGACCACAGGGATGCTTTTTAAAGGGACCTGGCAGGTAAAGCACCTGCTAAAAAGTCTGCTGCAGAACAGACAGTAATAAATGTTCATTTCTCCTCCCTTGTTCTCATTCTAAACCTGGCTCCCATGACGTGAATAGACTCTTGGCTATAGCAGAATAAATGATCCCAGTTCCCAGCCATGCCTCGTTCACCCCTGCCTCCAAGGGCTCTTCCCCTCTTGTGAGATCCCCTCAGCTCCCCTCTTTCTATGTGCATTCTGTGGCTCCTTCATAGCCTGCTGATGCTGTCTCTGTCCTGAGACGTCCTTCCTGATGACTCTGGGCCACTTCCTCTTTGCCCCATTTTGGCCACAAGTGCATGACTTGTGCAGCCATTACTTTTAGGACTCCACACTCAATATACTTTTGCATGTCCTAACTGCATTTGGGTTTTGTTTTGTCTTGAGTCAGGGTCTCACTCTATTATCCAGGCTGGAGTGCAGTAGCACGATCACAGCTCACTGCAGCCTCAACCTCCTGGGCTCAGGCAATCCTCTCCATCTCAACCTCCCAAGTAGATGGGACTATAGATATACATCACCATCTCCAACTTAATTTCTTAATTTTTATTTGTAGAGACAAGGTCTCACTATATTACGTAGGCTGGTCTTGAACTCTTGGGCTCAAGCGATCTTCCTGCCTCAGCCTCCCAAAGTGCTGGGATTGCAGGCGTGAGCCACCACACCCAGCCTACAAGGTGCTTTGAAATTCCTCATCTCATCTGTTCTGCAGAAGCTCTCTGAGACAGGAAGGCAAAAAGCTTTATGTCCATTTCACAGATAGGCAAACTGAAGCTTAGAGCGTTTGTCGATCTGTCCTGTGAACAGCACACAGAAAGACAAGGACCAGCTTGTGTAATTCCATTTATAAAATACAATCTCACTAACCATTTTATGTGTTTCTTCCCCAACTAGTTAAAGACTAGTAGATGTTCAGAAGAGGGCTTTGTGGTCTCTCTAACCTGTCTTCATTGGACCAACTTCTGGCTCCTTCACTGAACAACAGATTTACTCTGAGCAACTTTCTGGCCTTTTCTAAGACCCAACTTCCTCATTAATAAAGCAGGGATGAATAACAGTGGCTTCTTCATGGGGCTGGACTAGGGAGTAGAAGAAATAATGCACAGAAAGATATGACTCAGGCCAGGTGCACAGCAGAGGTCTGCTAAGTGCGGTGACCCTGTTTCTCTTATTACTACAACTGCTACCATGACCTTCACAGGATGATTATCACCACCAGTATTCTAGCACACAAGAATTGTGTTTCTTACTAACTTCTTCCTGAGTCACAGTGCAAGCATATTGTTCAGATGCTCAATATACTTTTTTGAGTGATGCCTCATTAGGGTAATGGGAAACCAAAAAGACCCAACGATCAGACAAACCCTCTTGGTGAAGAACGGATACAAACACCTTGGCTTCATCTCTTCCTCACCCTTGCACCTATCTCTACATGTGGTGTACTTCATCTTGGTGTCACCATGATCTGTCCCCCTTCCAGCGGTGCCGTTATTGGGGTACCTGCTCCGTGAGGAAGGATGGCTTGTACGCGCCGTCAGTGGACTTGTTCCCTGTGCCCCTCATGGACTTCATGTGTGAGACGGCCATGCGGAGAATGGTGAGCTTGTCCGGCTTCCGGGCCAGCGCACTGCATGTGGGGACCATGTCGGAGAGCTCGGTGATGTACTGGGTCATCTTGTTCCGCCGGCGCCTTTCAATCTCACTGTGATTCTCTCTTCCCAGAAAGCACGAGATCAGGAGGGGGGGTGAAAAGAGAAGTATCAGATGAGGGGTTACTATCCAGTGGGATAAAATGATGCGCTGTTAACATCCAATGACTGAGAACCAGGGGCTCCTTCTTGAGAGCCCAGTGCTTTGGATACATATTGGGAAAAGAACTCTTCTGACACCTTGGTCAGCTCCTGTGTCTGTGTCGGGGGAACACAGAATTCCACAGTCTTTATCTCTAAATATGTATTGAAATCTTCTCATGACTCCCATGTACCTAAGGATGTTTTTGTAAGCAGAAAAAATTAAGACATGATACTTCGGCAGACTAAAACCTCCCAACTTAATTTTCACATGCACACATGAATCTCTGCATGGATGTGCACGTGTGCACATGCACACACACATGGAATGTGGTTACTGGTTGCTTGAATATGCAGTTTACTTTGACCTTCTCATAAGAAACACTATATAGCCTTACCATTCTTTGTGTCACTAAGTAGACCAGTAATGCCATGAATTTACTTCAAAGTTGCGAACAAACCTTTGTTCTCCACCCAACACATTTTCTGCAGTGTAGTAACAGAACAGGTGCACTCCTAGCTTATTAAACAACAAATAACCAATCAAAAACAAAAGCCCTGTGAGGAATTACAGAACTCAATCTCTGTGATGTGTTTAGATGACAAGCTAGCAGAAGGGATGGTAGAATGTTTCCATCTCAGGCTTATTCACTTTAGGCTTGAAAGAGAGTCACAGCCAAGCCAGCTCAACAACTCTAAGACAAAGCTGTTACTTGGGATAAAGGAATTATCTAAAAATACACCCCATGTCTGCTGCAGGATTTAGGGTTTCACTGGTGCTCAAAAAATGAGAGTGACATTAATGGCAAGAAAGGAACACCCTCAGGCAAGGCTGCCTCCAAACACTGCATGTATTAATTAGCTCAACATGCCATCCTCCCAGTCTGGGGACAGACGTGCCAGTCAGGCCTGATGACACGCCAGGAGCATGTGCTGAGGACCTCTGAAGACCAGGGGGGATGTGAAACCACAGCAGAGGTCATTACTGCAAGCAATGGGAGCCCTCCAGCTGTACCTTTCAGACCCCAGGAGGGAAGGGGGCAGTCAAGAGAACAAGGGATGCCCAACTCGGTCCTTAAGCAGCAGAGGGCAGGAGGGGTCTCAATTAGGGAGGTAAAACATACACCTGGCATCACTGAAATGAAAGGCAGAACATGATTAAATGCTCCAAAAGGCATGTGGAAAGTAAAAACCCCAAGAGAGAAGAGGGGGAGGTGGTCCTG